ACCCGCGCCTCCTCCTTGCGCCCGCAAGCTCGGGCCGCCGCCAGCGGCGAGGACGCGCGCACTGCAGCGACAGAGGGTGGCCTTCCACAAGCTGTCGCCCGCCCACGAAGCGGGGGCTGCTGAAGCTGCCCCTGGTCCAAGGTACCCCCAGCTCTTCCCTGGATCTGGGAGCCCCTGGAGCCCTCTGGGCCTCGTGAAGAAGGTCCTGGAGGCTGTGGGGGGGCTCCTCGGAAATCTTGGGGGCACCTTGGGCCAAGAGCACTTCTAGCAACACCCGAACGAAGGGACGCTCATTGCGGCACCAGGAGAGGGAGAGGCTCTCTGCCCGCGTGCAACGACACTCCGCCCGACACCCCAGGGGCGAAGCAGACTGGCGACGGCTGCGCGCCTGGCAGCAGCCCGGGGCAGGCGAGGTCTAGACCGAATCTGCGTATAGGCTGTCACGCCGCTGCACCTCTCGGGGGAGCAGCAGCACGGGGGTAAGTGCCCGCCTGGCAGCACCCAAGGACAGGCGACGATCTGCGTAGAGCGTCACTTCGCTGGAGCTCTCAGGGGCGAGACAACGTCGCGACAGTTGAAAACTGGCAGCAGGACGAAGGATAAGGAGGACAGGTGAGGAGGAGGGGAGAAGCGGGGGAGGAGGAGGATGGGAGGAGCAGCAGTGCTCTGCTCAAAACGAGGGCCCAACATGGGGGGACCCACGCAGAAGAGTAAAAAGCAGACAGGGCGCTCTGGAAACCGGCTAACATCAATGTAGAGTTACTGCATACCCGCGTTCACCCTCGACGGGCGTGGTGTGCATCCGCCGGCCCCATTGGGGGCCAACAGGCTGCGAGGACTGGGCGCTCCTGCTCCCTGCAGCAACTTCTAGCTCCCAAAATATAACTGTGTACATGTCATAGCTTCCATCTCTCATGCCCTGTAATGGTTGAAGTCCGCGCGGAGGGAGGAGCCCGAACACCACCCGGCCCCCGCCCCGGAATCACGCTGTCCGAACGTGGGGCTGGCCATCGCTCGGACGTCCATTCCCTGTGTGTTGTTCCGGTTTCGTGCGTGGCTTTTTCGCCAAATGATCAAGGATGCTCCTCGATGGTCCTCGCCGAGAAACAAAATGCACACGTCCGAGCGATGCCAAGGGGGGGGGGGGGGCCCTGGGAAATGTGTAGAGCACTTCAGGCTCGAGAGCCCTGGCCAAGCTATACTGCACGGTCGCGCTCCCGAGGCCCGACGCCACTGTAGACTACGAGCTCGCGCCCCCGAAATCCCAACGCACTTCTCGAGTACATCATCATCATCATCATCATCATCACATCATCATCATCATCATCATCACCATCACCATCATCATCATCATCATCATCATCATCATCATCATCATCATCATCATCACCATCACCATCATCATCATCATCATCATAATCATCATCATCGTCATCATCATCATCACCACCACCATCATCATCATCATCATCATCATCAACAACAACATCATCATCATCATCATCACCCCACCTCCCTTCTCCTCCTTCTCCTCCTCATGTTCCTCCTCCTCCTCCTCATGTTCCTCCTTTGCCCCCTCCCCTAAACCTGGACGGAGGATTCCGTGGGTCGGTGGGGCGTCCAAGATCAGACCCCCGTGAAGTACGGTTGGTTAGCGCCCCCAGGGCCGAAATCCCGCTGCAAGCTGCTGCAGACCCACGCGTACGGGCCCCCGAGCCAACGCCGCGGGGGGCTGCCCCAAAGCGCCCGTCCGCTGTCCAGAGCAGAAAACACCTGTCGCGTCCCCACTTGCGATGCAGTGGAGACCAGTCCACAAGAAACCTTCCACGAGAAACCCAACCCTGAGACCCCAGGACGCCCATCGATGATTGGTGCGGGAACGTTACGCTGTCCATCGCAAAACCATCGAAACCTAAGAAAATCCAATCCAGGGCACCCTGGAGGCAAGCAGGGTGTTTCTTGGCATGGGCCTCCACTGGATGTGTTCGGTGGGCGCTTCTCGGCCCCCAGCGTCTTTCCTGAAGATTCGGGCCTGGGCCCGACGCCGCAAATCCACTAAAACCATGAAACAGGCGCGCTCCCGAAACCGCGAACCCTCGCGAGTTGGAAAGGAAGCGCGCTCCAGAGGCAATCATCTGATACGAATCGCTACAGATGTGGGCAACCAGCAAACCAGCAACCAACCACAACCAACTGCACACCATCCACAAAAACTACACGCCAATCAGCCGAGCTGCCAGCCAGCCAACCGACAGGCCAGCAAACTAACCGACCGAACAAGCGTAGCCTTGCGAGAAGTCAGAGGGGGGCCGGCGGCAGAGTGCGAAGCCCTGGCGGAACTGATACGGCGGAACCGATACGTATGACGAGTGACTGCAAACAAACACCAAGCTAGAGAAACAACTCAAACATGTAAGCACGCACGAAAGCATACAAGCAAGCAAGCCAGCAGGCAAGCAAGCACAAGCATTGTAAACCGATGATTGTTTCGCGTGGCTCAAAACATTCTCGATGTTCTACTTAGGAGCTGAAAAGCGCCGAATACGGCCCTGAGAGGCCCCAAGTAATGTCCCATAGCGGCTCCCGAGATTCTCAAAAGGGAGGCAAGATGCCTTCAAGACGGCCCCCAGGAGAGAAACAGGCGCGCCACCGACAGACATCTGAAAGACTTTTCTCCAATATTGACCAAAAGACGCTGCGGCAACACATTGCTTGGAGCCTGTCTTTATTTGTACCGGGGTAGCACCCGTCACCGGCCCCGCCATCCCCCCCCCCCGCGATGACGGCATGTTCCGCGCCAGCGACTTCCGGATGTGCTTAGGGATGGCCCATGCCAAAGAGGAGCAACATGTTGGTGGCGATCTGCATCACAGCGCCTGTGTACACCACAGTGCTCGCGTGCACCACAGCGCGCGTGTACACCACAGCGCCTGCGTACACCGCAACAGCCGTGTGCAACGCAACGCCTGTGTACACCACAGTGCTTGCGTAATCCACAGCGCTTGTGTGCACCACAGCGCCAATGTACACCACAGCATCCGCGTGCAACGCAGCGCCGGTGTACACCACAGCGCCTGCGTGCACAGGACAAGTAGAAGGAGCATGTCGGTGAGGATCTGCTGCGGACAGCTAAACACCACGAAAAGGAAGTGCTGATAATAGAATGCGATGTTTCTCCCTCATCCCTTCTCCTCCTCCTCCTCCTCCTCCTCCGCTTCCTCCTCATCCTCCCTTCCCTCCGTCGGGCGGGTCGGCGCTGCAGCGCACGTGCGCATCTCAGCGTGCACCGCGCAATGGTCGATTGAATCAGTCCACTTGGTTCTCGGACGGCCAACTCTGCGGAAGCCTTCTGGACGAAGATGGGAGGAGTTAGTTAGGATGATGCGGGAGGACTCGGGAGCGGCGATCATGTTTCTATAAGCTTTGCTTCCCGAATACTATATAAGCCAAGTGTTGTCTGTGGAATCTACAGACGCTCTATTATTTCATAAGGACTCCTTCCAAAATTCTATATACAACAATGGTGCTCTGTTGCAAACGATTGCTGTGGTGCACACAGGCGCCGTGGTGTAAGGCACTGTGGTGTACACTGGTGATGTGTTGCACACGGCTGCTGTGGTGTACGCAGGCGTTGTGGTGTGCACAAGCGCTGCGATGCACGCAGGCACTGTGGTGCGCACTGGCACTGTGTTGCACGCGGCTGCTGTGGTGTACATAGGCGGTGTGGTGTACACAGGCGCTGTGGTGCACGCAGTCGCTGTGGTTTACACAAGCGCCATGGTGCAGATCGCAACCTACATGCTGCTGCTACCCGTCCTCGGTCATTCCTCATCATTCCCAGACGCCGCCAGCGCGAAACGTGACGTCAACGGCACCCCACCCCCACCCCCCCTGGTGACGGCCGTCATCGCCCCGGAATAGAAAGACAGGCTTCTGTCGCTCTCGTCTTCTGTCAGCTTGTCACTGCTCTGTCATAGCCTGTCGCTTTTGTTAAAAGGAAATTAGGACACACAAATAAATACACACAAATAAAAATAGTCCCCATATTTTCCCATATTTTCTGGGTTTTTGTCTTCCCCCCAAATCCTATATTTTCCCATATTTTCCTGGGAATCGAGGATTAATTGTGTCTGTGTGTTTTTTTCCCTCCTGATTTGTACGCTGTCGGGCCATCAGACACGAGCATGCTGGGCGGGGCCCCCAGGGGAGAGTGTTCGGGGAGTGTCGGGGCCAGGCCGCCTACGGCAGGTTCGCGTCGTGTCGACCCCGGCGTTGGTTTCTGACACCGCGTGGATCGTTCAACCTTGAACGATCGGCCGTCTCCGCAACGTCCAAATCGTTCCACATCGAACGATTCTGGGTTCCCCCGCGGCGTTCAAGGTTGAACGCCGCTGGCGGGGTCGCCGCCGGTCGACACGACGCGAACCTACCGTAGGCATGTGAGCCGGCCGAGCGGACTGGTGCGGACTCGTCAAATCTCGCAGCCCTTCACGTGCTGCCCGGGGATGACATGCACTGACTGCTCATACGAGAGTCCTCTTGGGACTCCGTCGTGGCCTCTACATTGGAAAGCCTTGGGACCTCTTGGGCTCTCTCGGGATCGTCTGGGAACCTTCTTGGAACTCTTGGGGGGTGGCACGTGGGCTGTCTTGGCAGCTCCACGAGACCCCACGAGGGGCCCGTGGGGCTCGGGGAGAGGAGCGGGAACTATAGCACAGCTGGGCTCCTGGTGTGTGGAAGCCCGCACACACCCCCTGGGACGGTGCTCACATAATCACGTAGATGCTTCGGCCACGCAAGAAAGGTGTTTGATTCGCACCATGCGTGTACACTCGTATGCGCCGCGTTTGATTGCATGCACGTGCGCACAATAAAGGTCACAACAACTGCCCTTCGCGATGGTTCATGCATGCCGAGCGTATCCCTCTGGTTCGTCGGTCGGGCTGCGCGCCACCACACGATAAAGCATCTCCACACTTCTCTGCTCTCCGCTCGGTGACCTTCCGAGCTGGTGGATGAGATCGATGAACACATCCTGGGCGGCGGGATGCTGCCTCTTATTCGCATTCGCTCGTACATGCGCACAACGAGAATCGCGTTGAAAGCAGCGCAAGCAGACGCCTCAGTGGCGATGCGCAGTGGTTTAAAGGCTACCGAACCTCTCGGTTCCCATCAGGAAGTAAGCAAATTGCACACGCGACATCTGATGCTGTGGCCGAGAGAGTACCACCTCATCGGTCCACAGATTGCGGCTGCATCAGCCCCACGAAAGCTCGCTTCCTGCACAGCTCTTAATTATGCCCGAGATGCCTGAGCTGCCACTGCACTCCGAGCCCCATCCGAAACCCACAGACTCATCGGCACACCCCCGAAATTCCGATACTCGTCCGCCACTGTGCATACCGCCTTCGATACATCTGACCATGCCGATCGCCCAGGCCCGAATGTGCGGAAAGGGGTGGGGAACGGAAAAAGAGGGGAGCAAAGAGGGGAGAACTAGATTCGCTCGCGCAACACTTGACATCCGATCCTTCGGTCCATCCCGTCCCACTGCGTTGAACAAACCCCTTGTCTACGAAGTTCGCCGAATCAGGCGTCGAGACGGGCCCTAGATGCGATCAGGAATGCATGAGCCGCCACGAAAGCATGCCTGACATTGATCTCGGCACTGACCCGAGAGCTCCCAGTGCAGCGCTTCGTTGTTAGACAATGCTGAGCACGTGCTCGGAGAGTCCCTGGACGCACCACCTGGGACCTCCGACGAAGCGGGAAGTCCACCGCGCGGCTTTCCCTGCGTGAGCTGTTCGTCTCCCTTCGTTCCTTTGCAAGCACATCGTCCTCGGCACCGCCTGACCCCGGGGCTCTGCCCCCTCCTGGCCTTGCCGTGAGGCCTCTCCTTCTGTCCCCCACTCGTTGTTGATTCAGGCTCCGCGCGGCCCGCTTATAGCTTCGACCGGAAGAGGTGCGCTCTCGACCCGCGAGTCAAAAACTCTTCGCCTCCCCTGCGGTGCAGCCCTCGACCGCGCCGAGGGGGCCCGAGGGCCCCCCCTCGGCGGCGGGCCCTCGGCGGGCGCCCCGCGCGGCGGGCCCCGCGCGGCGGGCCCTCGGAGGGCCCCTCGTCGGCGCCGCGGAGGAGGCGTCGCGTGGGGGCTGCCGCCGCGCTCGGGACTGCCCACCCGCGCACCTTCCTCGACCGCGAGCACAGAAACCCTCGTCGAGGTCGCACGCGCCACGCAGGCCGCTGAGGTTGCTCACCGGGAGCACGCCTCCGTGCCTGGCTGATCCTGGGCCACGTGCACTGCCGTGCAGCGCCATCGCGCCCGAGACCGACGCAGCGCGCGCCCCGCGTTCGCGTCCTCGTTCTGGCTGGAGTGCCCTCTCGATCTTGCCGAGCGCGATGCTGCCGCAGCACCCCTCCTGCGCCACTGCGCTCGTCAGAGCTCACCCTGCCCCAGGCAGCGGGCCGATGAACGCTGAAGCGGTGCAGATCGACACCCTCCTTATCGCTCGCGGAGAGCTGTCACCGCGGCCTGCCGCGGGGCACATCCTCTCCGCCAGCAGCGCCGTCGCCGCCCATCTGGCTAGCACTTGCAGGACTTTGCCAAGAAGTGGTAATGGTCAGGAATCCTCGCACCGTCTCACGCGGCACCTCCTGGCCTGGATCACCGGGGCTGAACTCTGTTGTCAGGAGCGCCCCTCAAGATTCGATGAAATGCCCACGTTGTCTTCTTGGCAGCTCTGTCCCTTCGGCACTGTCGCGACGGCCAGGTGCCCGCGTACTGCGCAGAACTCTGCCCAGGCCGTTTCGCTCTCCCTGGCCAGGGCTGGAGCAGTGCCTCGCAATACGGCCCGACAGATGGCCCAGCTGTCAGCACAGTGCGGGCGCGGTCGCGAGAAGCCATCGCAAGAGACCCAACCCTGAAGACCCGCGCGCGAGGTGCGCTCGAGGGGAAGCCCGGAGCACCCTGAACGCAGCAGCTGCTTCAACGGCCGAGGGAAGCCACCGCGCAGCGCGCGGGGCGAAGAAACCCAGGATACCCTGACGAATCGCACATGGCCTCTTCATGCGCGCCTCCACTGTGCACCCAAGTATGTCCTGGTAGCCATACAGGTTGTCAGCGTCCGACCGTGGGCGAAAGTCGGGCGTTGGCAGAACTGGGTTTAGTGGAACCTGGTTTAGTGATTTGTACTGGAGGCGCCCCCCTGTCCCATTTCCACTGACCGGAACTGCCGTCACCTGAAAAACACCAGTGACGCAAACCTGGTCTAACGAATCTGGCCAATTGAGGGGCCCCAGGGCCCTACCACTAACCGGGTCCCCTTACCCGGGGTCCTGGCCATAGCCGAGAAAGAGCGCGCCTGCATGGCACCCGCTTCGGCCCTCGCGGGCCGAGCCCCCGGGCTTCGGCCCCCGCGGCTGTGCGGGGCGTGCCCCGCGCAGCACGCGTCCGTGCGGCCGCGCCTCCGCGGGGCCGCGCCCCGGGAGTCCCGACCGCGAGGGTACGGACACGGACATCTTGGACGCCCGAAATGGGCACGGAAAGACTGGGTACAATGCCCAGCAACAAATGTTGTCCCAAACCAACAGCCGACCAGCCATAACTGGGGGAGCTGTGGTCCTTACCCCCCTGGGGGAACCCATCGCATCGACGATCTCTCGAGAGGGGTGTCGAAATCGATGGGTCCGCCAGGGGGGTAAGGACCACAGCTCCCCCAATTGTGGCTGGCCTGAACAGCGGCCGCTGTTGGGCTGGCAGCCTTCTGTCTCGAATGGAAACAGGCCGCGGCGGCATGGACAGCGAATCCCGTTTCAGATGGACAGGAACTGCTGTTGGGCATTGTACCCATTTTTCCGTACCCATTTCGGGCGTCCAGAGACATGTTCGCTGCTCGTGATCGGAGCCGTGACCGATCACATGCCTGCCCCCAGAGAGAAAGAGTCTGCAGCGCCCGGTCTGCGCTCCGCGCGGGAGGGGGCCCTGGGCGGGGCGGGCGCCAGGGCAAGAGAGCGCGACTCCGAGCGACCGAAGGCGATCCGGTGAGGAGGAGGCAAGCCAAACTAGCGCAGGCGGGGCCCATGCAAAATGGCATCCGAAGTGGCGAACAACCTCCTCCTCCTCCTCCTCCTCCTCCGCCTCCTCCTCCTCCAACTCTTCCTCCTCCTTGCTGCTCAACCTCCTTCAACCTCCCTCCGTCTCTTGCTCCATCATCCTCTTCCCTCCATCCCTGCGTCCCGACCTCCCCCTCTGGGGAAATGACTACCTACCAGACCACCCCAACCCAACCCGAAGACCCGAATTTGACCTGAATTTCGGGTTGGGGGGGGTACGGATACCATGTGTTTTTGCAACGTTCCCCGACCCCCCCCCACTGGAAATCGAGGATAAATTTGGGCCTTCGGGTTGGGTTGGGGTGGTTTGGTGGGTGGTGAGGAAAGAACAGATGCCTCTGGGATCTGCGTCTCGTCCAGCTCCCTCTTGGAAACGCCCTCGTCCCGGATGGCCTCCGGCGCCAGCGCGCGGAGGTACCACTCGCCAGCCCCAAGATGGAGCCCCAATGCGCTCCGAGGGGGCCTCGAAGATGCCCGAGGAACGCCCTGGCAGGGACCCAAGTGCGGCCCGAGGGCGAGGACGAATGAGCGCGGGCCACAAAATGTCACCGAAACAGCCCCAACATGCCGCAAGCCACAAGGCGGCACAAGATGATCCAGGACAACCCCTGATCAGCCGCAATGAAAGGCGCCCAGGGATATCACCAAAACCGCTCACAGATACCCAGGAGCCCCCAGATAAGTTCTCACAGCGTACGAAAGGGGCCATGCAAAACATCATTCATTACCCAAATACTTCCCATGTTGACTGCACTCACGTGGTTGCGAACTCCGGTGGTGAAAAGTTTGATGGGGACGTCCCGTTCAGTGTCGCAGTACAACTGCCAAGCGGCTGCTTGTTCCCGACCTCGAGTTCCACCTTCAAATTACCTCTGAACACCTCCATGCACCCACGTTCCTCCAACGTTAACAGTTTTTCGCATGCCCGTGTGCTACCTCCACCACCGCCCACCTCCCTCACCCCCCTGCTCTTGCCATTGTCCATCAATACTTTCTTTTCATCGTCCCAAGCGTTGGTTCTGGGGCAGAAGATTATAAGGGGCCGCGGAACCCTCCATTCGAGAATTCGTCGATTCGTCGATTCGTTTGCCATCGCCCTGAGGTTTCGGCTCTGGGGAGGAAGATTCCCTTGCGGGCAAGGTTCGTATCCATATCCAGTGCGTCTTGGGTTTTTTGGGAAGGAGCATCACAAGGCCGAGGCGCACTGGGTATGGATAAAAATCGAGCCTCTAGGGGGCAAATCTATCCATATCCAGCGCGCCTCTGGTTTCTGGGGAAGGGAACCCGAAACTCCATGTCGCAGTGGACATGGACAGAAGTATTGCCCGCATCTCTGGGGCCGCGGACGTCTCGAGTCGAAGATTCGTCAAATCGTCTGCCTTCCGGCCCGAGTCCGAGGCGGTGCGGCGCGTGCGCCCGAGGAGGCCACCAGGTTCCCCCTCTGCCGTGCCAGCGGCCTTGCTGGTGTCGGCGCAAGGGGGGGCCGGCCCGGGTTCTGCCTCGCTCGCGGGCGGCTTGGCGTACCGTCGCGGAGGCTCCGTGCCGACGACACGCGGTCAGGCCGCTCTGTTTGGTTCGTTGACTGGGCGCGTCCTGGCGCTTTCCCACGGCGTCCGTCGGCGCACGGTGGGGCCTGCCTCGTGGTGTCCTCGCTGCGAGCGCACTGGACACTTGCACTGGAAGCGGCCCCATCGGAATGGAAGTTTTTCCCAACCATCCTGTAGTGTTGGGTCACCGTTTTGAAGAGACGGTCCCCGCGTTCATTTCTGCCTTACTTCCTGCCTTCCTTCCTCCCCCCCTCCATCCTCTCATCACCATCGTCATCATCACCATCATCATCACCGTCATCATCAGCGACCTCACACGTTTCGTGCCCCCAAAGTGAGGTCCAACACGAAGGTCCCAGTGCTACCGCCCGCATGCGTCGCCTCCACCCAGTACAACGCTTCGTGGCCCCATGGAGAGCTCCAAAGAAGGTCCCAGGGCTACCTACCGCCCGCATGCGTCCCCCCCACCCAATACAGCGCTTCGTGGCCCCATAGCGAGCTCCACCGAAGGTCCCAGCGCTGCAGCCCGCGAGCGCCTCCGCACAGCGCTTCGCGGCTCCATAGGGAGCCCCACCGAAGACCCCAGTGTTACCGCCCACATGCGACTCCCCCACCCAACACAGCGTTTCGTGGCCCCATGAGCTCCACCACAGCCTCCAGCGGTACTGCCCGCATGCGTCCCCCCCACCCAGTACCCAGTACAGCGCTTCGTGGCCCCATAGGGAGCTCCACAGAAGGTCCCAGCGCTACCACCCGCATGCGTCCCCGCCACCAAGTACAGCGCTTCGTGGCCCCATAAGGAGGTCCACCTACGGCCCCAGTGCTACCGCCCGCATGCGTCCCCCCACCCAGTACAGCTCTACGTGGCCCAACAAGGAGCTTCACCGAAAGCCCCAACGCTACCGCCCGCATGCGTCCCCCCACCTAATACTAATACAGCACTTCGTGGCCCCATAGCGAACTCCACCGAAGGTCCCAGCGCTACAGCCCGCACGCGTCCACCCATCTAGTACAGGGCTTCGTGTCCCCATAGAGAGCTCCACCGAAGGTCCCAGCGCTACCGCCCGCATGCGTCCCCCCCCCCACACAGTACAGCGTTTCGTGGCCCCTAAGAGAGGTCCACCGACTGTCCCAGGGCTACCGCCCGCATGCGACCCCCCACCCAGTACAACGCTTCGTGGCCCCATAAGGAGCTCCACCAGCGGCCCCAGTGCTACCGCCCGCATGCGTCCCCCCACCGAATACAGCGCTTCGTGGCCCCATAGCGAGATCCACCGAAGGTCCAGACGCTACAGCCCGCACGCGCCCCCGTTTCCCAGTACAGGGCTTCGTGGCCCCATAGGGAGTTCCACCGACGGCGCCGGTGACACCGTCCGCATGCGTTTCCCTCACCCAATACAGCGCATCGTGGCCCTATATTGAGCTCCACTGAAGGCCCCACTGGCACTTTCCGCATGCGCGCCCCCCCACCCAGTACAACGCTGCGTGGCCCCATAGGGGGCTCCACCAAGGGCCCCGGTGGCACCGTCCGCATGCGTCTCCCCTCCCAATACAGCGGTTCGTGGCCCCACAGGGAACTCCAACGAAGGCCCCAATGACAAAGTTCGCATGCGTTTTCCCCCGCCCAGTACAGCATATCGTGGCCCCATAGGGAATTCCACCGAAGACGACGCCCACAACTGCGGTATTCACACATGCAGATGATTGGATTTCTCGCAAAACAATTTTTTCGTCGACCATATTGTAGTGATGGGTCGTCACCTTGGAGAAACAGCGCCCCGCGTCACTCACACGTTCCTCCTCCTCATTCCTCCCCCTTTTTTCCGCCTCCCTCCTCCATCGTCATCATACAGCCCGTCATGGCCCCATAAAGTACAACGCGTCGTGGCCACATAAAGTACAGCGCGTCTTTTCCCACCCACTAAAGCGCGCCGTGGCCCCATAAACAATTCCACCGAAAGCCCCACTGGTATCGCCAGCATGCGTCACCCCCAACCACGACAGCGTTTCCTGGCACCATGGGAGCTCCACCGAAGGCCCCAACGCTACCGCCCGCATGCCCAGCGCTACCGCCCGCATGCTTCACCCCCACCCAGTACATGCAAAAGGCCCCAATAGCAACACCCGCATGCGTCTCCCCACCCAATACAGCGCTTCGTGGCCCCTTAGCGAGCTCCACCGAAAAGCCCCAGTGGCACCGCCCGCATGTGTCACCCACAACCCAATACAGCGTTTCGTGGCAGTACAGGGAGTTCCACCGAAGGCCCCACTGGCACCGCCCCCACGCGACACGCCCACTTAGTACAGCGCTTCGTGGACCCAGAAGGATCTCCACAAAAAGGCCTGATGGAACCGCCGGCATGCGTGCCCCCCCACCCACCCACCCAGTACAGCGATTCGTGGCCCCATACGGAGCTCCACCGAAGGCCCCAGTGGAGGCACCGCTCGCAAGCGCCCACGCTTCGTGGCCCCATAAGGAGCTCCACCGTAGGCCCCAATAGCAGCGCCCGAATGCTTCACCCCCACCTAGTACAGAGCTTCGTGGCCACTGAAGGAGCTCCACCGAAGGCCCCATCGCTACCGCACGCATGCGCCCCCCCCCACCCCACCCAGCACAGCGCTTGGTGGCCACAGAAACAACTCCATCGATGGCGCTCGTAGCATCGTCCGCATGCGCTTTCCCCACACAATACAACTCCACCGGAGGGCCCAATAGCACCACCCGCATGCGTCTCCCCCACCCAGTACTGTGTTTCGTGGCCCCATAAGGAGCCCCACCGAAAACCCGACCGCCACCGCCCGAATGCGTCGCCCCCACCCAACACAGCGCTCGGTGGCCTCAGGAGCTCCACCAGAGGCCTCAATGGCACCGTCCACATGCTTCACCCCCACCCAATACAGCGCTTCGTGGCCCCATAGGGAGCTCCAACAAAGGCCCCAGCGTCAAAGTCCACATGCGTTTCCCTTTCGTGGCCCATCGGGAGCTTCGCCGAAGGCCCCAGTGGCAAAGTTCGCATGCTTTCCCGCCACCGAGCACAACGACTCGTGCCCCATAGGGAGCTTCACCGAAAACGATACCCACAACTGCAGTTGTCACAACTGCATATGGTTGGGTCCTTCGCCGAGTTATTATTCCTTTGTTTCGACAGTTGGCAGCAGAGCGCGGGACAGTGGGTGGGGGGTTGGCCGAAGAGTGCGGGACAGTGGGTGGGGGCGGTGCTTAGCGAGTCTGCCTCTGCCAGTCGCGCACGCACAGTGGGGGGGCAGCCGCCAAAAGCAGCCAAGATCAGGTCTGGGGGGCGGGGCCCGCGACGGCCAGAGAAACAAATGATTGCGCCACTCGGCGGCGACAGGCGTCCATGCGCGTCACGCCCCGTCGATGGGTGCGACGCGTCCCCTCGCGAGCGCCATCTCAATCGCAGAGCCCCATTGCGGCGCGGCGCCGCCGCTGTGGCAGAGTCCACCGCGGCGCGGGCATGCCGCCCCTGGGCGCAACGCCACCATCGCACCCAACGCGCGCAACACAGCGCGCCGCGCCTGGTATGGATGGGCGCAGCCCCGAAGCGCACGCAATCATAACGATTCGGTGCCGTTCGCTACGACGCTGGCCTGACACAGGCACGCGCGAGAACTGCCGCGCCACAACCACGCGAACCGCGCATTCAAAAATACTCCGACGGTAGGACCCCGCACGAGAATCTGTTTAGCTTACCCTTTGTCCTTTCCTCCTCCCCCTGGCGGACACCCGCTCCTCTCGCCCCCTGCACTGCCCTCTCTTCCCCCTTCTATTTCTCTTCCTCCTCTTTCTCCTCATCCTCCTCCTCCTCCTCCTCCTCCTCCTCCTCC